GTCCGTCCGTTGAGCAATTCGGCCGAGTGGTGGTGATTGTGCGATTATCCGGTGGCTCCTCGAACCGCGATCCCTCATTAATCCCGCGAGTCTCGAAGAAGCCGCTTCTTCACACTTTCGTTGCTTAATTTGGGTGAATGCGCGTGTGTTTTGAAACATTGTGCTTCTCGTCCAGGCACCATGCAGCCGACGAGGAAGCCTCACCGGGTTTGAGACCGAGCATACTAATCGATCGTCAAATTCGATCCGATCTAGCCATGGGATCCGTACAGGAGCTGCAGGCCCTTCTGCTCGCGAGGGAGGAGAAGATTAGGGAACTCGAAACGCTTCTGCATATTCGCGACGCGGAGATCGGCGATCTCAGATCTCACTTAGACAAATTTCAGAGCGTCTTTCCGTTTCATTTTAACGCGGTCACGACGAAACACAAAGGTCTCAATAACAATATCGGCGGGATCCGGCCTAGGAAGCAAAGAGCCGGTATTTCGGCCGAGCCGCAAAGTGAGGCGTCTCTTCAGCAGCTGAGCAAGCAAACCTTTCCGGTTCACGACAAGGGCGAAAGGTAAGTCGATTTTTTTAGTGACAGGTGACACGTTTCCCAAACCACTTACACGAACTTATCAATGATACGCTAATTATCTAAGGACGTTAAATGACACTACCGCGCTTTTAAGGAACTGGGACGAATCGTTTATGACCAATACGCGACATTTAAATTGATCGAGTAATAAAAGAATTGCCGCAAAACCATGCCAAGCGCATAAAATCAATCAATCGTCAACCAATGAGCTTCAAATCTGTGCCACACGTTGTTGCGATTGATTTATCTGAAACGATCTGTTTTGTGTTAATAAAACGTGGAAATCTAAAGCAGACGGCGCCAAACTAAACACCGTAAAAATGAAAAATGGCGAAAATAATTAATGGTCTCTAGAGATTTTGTACGAAAATCTCGCCTCTCCCTGAGCAAGCACTCTTTTTTGGGAGACCTTCATTTCGAACATACCTATAATAGGTTGTGCACAGTTATCACACTACTTGTTGATGTGAGTAGGATTTTCCCACAAACTTTAAGGATAGTACCTACACCGAAAATCACGTATCGTCCAGACCTTCCATTTTCCTTTTGCTAGTGTCCTCGGATATTCGGATTGAAAGTTTTGATCCCACCAACAGATACGTTTTGTCCAGATCTCCAATGAGAGCGCCGACGCTAAAGTCTAAATGTCTATTGAGACTCTAAAAGCCTTTTGGTGATATTTAAAAATTTAACAAGCACATAAAGATCCTCTAAGATTAATAAAATATGTCATGAAATTGTCTTGATTCAGGATTCCGCTCGGTCAAAGATCATGTGATTTTTCACAATCTATGTCACCTCCACGTCGGTACCCCACTGTTTGTTAATATTTACTCACTGACTCGTTGACGTGCAGTTGCTCCTTAGGTTATTAACTCGTTGTATAAAACTTACTGCTTTGCCTATATAAATTTGTACCTGTTATGTATAATGTGGTATTGGTTAAAAGCTAATTTGGTTAGATTTATTACATCAAAAATGATTGGAACGTTGTACTCAGATAAATCGCCAAATTTGAATATCCCAGCCAGATCAAAATCGATATGTTACCTGAATTATATCTTTAAATCAATCAATACTGTCAAATGCAGGTAATACATCGTTTGGATGCAAGGGTTATAGGTTACAATTCAACAAAGGAACAATTGCATGTAAATTTCCTAAACTAATTTTTTTTAAATAAATACACAATTTCAATGAAAATCCGGTTACGAGACGTTATTCAGCCTCCCCCCTCCCCCTCCGGTTAGATAATGAAATTGATCAATTTGGCTAGAGGCCACCTTAAGCGTTTTCAACAACAAAAAATTGCGGGAGATGCCCTGAATTTTCCAGAATCTTATTAATACAAAGTTCGCACAATTTCGTCGAAATGTGAGGTTATGTTACTTATATTTCCTGATTACTTTTAATTTGGTAAGAGTGTGAGCAACATTTCAACTTCAATTTCTTAAGAGAGAATTTTTCCATGATAAAAAATGTTATTGTAATTGTACCGTAATAACAGTAAGTAGTTCTCTATATGTTTGACATAATTCATGTTCCTTCCCCTTTCGAGTGATAAGGCGGCTGATACAGAAAATACTTTTGAATTTAATTGGCGGTCTATGCAAGATGGGAAAGATGTCCCTTCCCCTTTCGGGTGATGAGGCGATCGATGCTAGTCACCGGCTGGTATAGAAAAGGCGTTCGAAGTTAATCGGCGGTCGCTAATAAAGAGGCGGTTTATGGAAAATGGAAGATACGAAAGATGTCCCTTCCCTTTTCGGGTTTCCCGTCTCAGGCGATCCTTGCCAGATGCAAAATGTAACCCTCTCTACGATATTCTTTTTGCCTAAGGCATTTAAGCTTAGATTTTATGCGCTTCTAAAAGTGGTTTTATTAATATGTATCCACATGTGACATGGAAGTGTCGCTTATTTTGTATATAAGTCGAACTAAACTTAAAATTATATTGTATATTATACATATTATACTACTTTTATTAAATTAACTGTTAACGTACACCTAACATTAATTAATTAATTAATCTCATTTTCCCAATATTTGAGGTTAGGAACGAGATTTTGAAAAACGGTTTTCGCTGGCCTCTTTAGATGTTATTTGGCTACTTTTTCATAAAGAAAAAGTCATATCATTCCATTTGATTTTTTTGATTTTTTTAGGGTTTTGGATCATAGTGTCAAAACTAGCCCCCTGGCGGAGAAGGATTCAACTAAGTTAACTATATTTTGGTTGATTCTCATTGCCCAAGGAATACTCTTTTCAACCATACCAAATTTGTTAAAATCGGTCAAACGGTTAAGAAGTTAAAGCAGGTTATTGCACAAACAAACCATCTTTGTTTTTGAAATAACTGAGTTTTTGTTTTTACGAAAATGATAGATAAACTGGTTCTCTTTAAAAATGTGAAAAAAATTTTTTCAGTTTATTAAGCGAAATTTAAAGAAAATGCAATTTTAAAATTTAAGATGGCAAATGACGAACGGTTGTCGAGATATGACCGAGGAACAGTCTTATTGGGTCACCCGGTACATAAAAGTACGCGAAGCTCGTGTTGCGTACGTCTTTTACGCGTATCATGTTCTATCGAATGCGCACACATTGTCGATGACCCCCCGAAACCGCTTCGAAAAGCGCACCTAAGTCGTTTAAACTTAAATCAACAATGAAAAATTAACCTATTCACTGTAACGTTTGGTATTGCAAATTTTATATACATGATAATTCATAAATATACATTCAAGTACCATCTCAATTTCCGCAGTGGATTAATACGGCTTCAGCTTTCCTGATGTCAAGGCGCGTCTTTGTTGATAATGGATTAATTACTTAAAAGGTAAAAGTGCATCGACTTCGGTGCGGCTTTGATCAAGACGTGTAGAATATTGTAGCGAATATTCCAGAAATCCCGATAGGCATCGAGCCACCATGAAAGATTAGTAATCGTCCTGGTAATCGCTGATGGAGGATGAAGGCAAATGTAACGCAATCTTTTCGGGAAATATAGTGTTAGTATCCACAATGGTAACAGTTTAATTCTTTTTTACCCTTAAAGTCACGGGAATGGATTGAATACACATTTATAAGAAAGATGCATTTACCTTATTTTACAGTTATGCTCAACTCATTGAACGGACAATCTGGTATTTTCTTGACGAACGAGAATCTGTTTTCTGTTAGACCAGCACAGTCTAACGCGATTTTCGTTCTTTTTTTATTATTACCGCGGTCTCTTCTGTAGCTTCAATGCACATACAATTTTAACACTGTCGTAACAGGACGTTTTTTCGGTCCTGACGTGTTATCTCGCGTCGCAAGCACCGCCGTGGTTTTACATTAAACGTCTAACGCTTAAGGTTCTTCGAAAACCTTTCTTGTCTTGATCCCCACGTTTCCCAATTATACAAATGCACCTTCAAAATGGTTTCTAATCGGTTTCAACGGCTATCTTTATTCGATCAACTAATGGACTTCCTTTATTTTCTTCAATCCCATGTTTAGAAAAGCAATTGCCTCCTCGGCGTTTTTCTGCAATTTATGCCAGAACTCTCAGCATAAGCAGTTCTCAGGTTGCGTCGTGAAATGGATCCAAGTTATCAAAAACTGACGCGTATAACCCATAATTTATCTCCCGCCCGACTGGCGCTACCCACTTTTCTCACTTTAATAATCGGCCAGTGCCGTACGTATCCGAAGACCATTGACCCAAAATAGAACAACCAAATTTTGGATAACCGTGCCCAACAATAATGCTACCCTGTACATCTTATAATACTCGATGCTAAAAATCGCGCAACCTTAAAATAAATTCCATTAAAGGACTCCCGTTACAAATGATTTTACTTTCTTGTAAAAAAATTATTCCCGTAGGCTAGCTCCAAGGCTAGCTTCTTTAAGGGTTTTCCATTACTATTTGAATTACAAAAATTTCAACACAAGGGTGTTTGTTTATTTTAAATACAAAAATATGGTTACGTTATTTATACCAACGAACGGACCAACCCAAATGGTTGGTTCCAACACGATTATGCCAAAGTACGTAATCCTACGGTGAACTTTAATGTAATTACAAAATGCACAAATCAATCGCTTCATATGAGCGAAAAATTACGTCATGTAGTGTTAAATTTTAGTTTATTTACGTTTAGTCTATTTACGTTGATTTATTTCCTCGCCTTTAAATTTACGCTATTGTTTGCATTTATCGTAATAGTTTCCATAAATAAACTTAACTTAAGGCTGGGCCGTTGTTATCGTTATGGGTTAAAATTTCCACTATTGATCGTATTTACAGTGATAGTTTCTAAACAGGAAAATATCCCTTTTAAACACCAACAGCTGAATCGGCAATTTACAGCCTTCAAAAATCGTCCCTTAATTATAGCTAATTTCGTTCTGTCCCACGACTTCTCGGCGTCTCAAGCTTTCACACGCAATTAAAAAGTCAGTACCACTCACTCACATGGAATCGAAAAAATGTACCTAAGTTAAAAAAAGCGTAAACAAATAGCCCCTTTCTTCATCCCTTTAACGGAGTACTTACCAGCGGTCGGTTGACTTAACGTACATTTTCGGAAACACAATTGGGTGTCCAAATGATCAGGTTATGAATTCAGCACTGATGAAGATATGGTATCTCTACGTACTGCGTATGAGGTAGAAAAGTTCATTGTATAAGTACTACACGTGCTTCCGCAGTTCGACATGCTCTGTACATACTAGCGATTTCGTTATTCTTATTGCAGTATGGCTTGTGATAAAGCCTACACATCGAATAATCTATGATCAAACATTTCCACATCCTAGCAAACAAGCGCGTTATCGATATTTGTTATAATTCTATTAACAATAAATATACAGCAAAGCGAAAAAAAAACACTTCTTTTTATCTCACTTTTAATCCAAGCTATAAGTGGGATCACTACAGAAAATTTGTGATTGATGCCTGAAGTAGCGCTTCTGTTGTATTCAAAAAGCGC